TGGGAAGGGCGCAGATCCCATTCGTAATTGTAACAGGTCAACAACGGGATAGGAACTTGGACGACCGACAAAACCGGTGGGTGAACCGATGTTTCCCACAGGAGAGAGTGCTTGCCCACTCCGCCCAAGCTAGAGCACGTCGTTGTCCACTACAAGGACCTAGCGCGAGTAAATTCGCATTCGATGTTTAAATGCAAACAAATTTCGACTGATAACTTCGACAGCGCACCTTGGACTTAGTTTCGTACATCGTTCTTGCAAAACCAAATGCACTCACTATGATCGTTGCAACTTTGATCACTTCCACCTTTACGATAATTCTGATGGGACTCTAATCCGTAAATTCACTAAAGTGACTTTTAACACTCCTAACTATCTATAGTACGTCACCTCCTAGGAGTGCTAACGCAACCTTTATGTCTCGGAAACACAAGTTCAAATGCAAGGATTCGAGGTCAAGTTGGTTTGTTCTACCCAATAGGTTCTTTCTTGAGTAGTATTCGCCAAAGTCCAAAATTCTAAGTCGATAACCGAATACTGCTGACTGTGAATCTGTTTACTGACTTAATGGACATGATAATCCGACCACGTGGCAGCCCACTTCGACAATGGAACTTTTGGTAAATGGACAGGTATCCTGAGCAAAGAACGCTGCCTAACTCCAGTTTATCGACTTGTCGTTCACGTTTCTGACACCATTCACGCGTTTTTGCTTTGTCACAATTAAGGGTGAGATACATTCGCCTGTTCTGTATTATTACATAACCCCACACCGCCGAATCATCCAAAAGTGGATACTGATCTGGTGGAGGATATTTACTTACCTAATGGCGAGACGTGGTTATGTGCGAAATTCACGGAAGTCTGTACGCTTGGGTAATCAGAAAGTGCAGCTATTCACTTTTGGTTAGCCTGGTTCTGGGTCACAGCATACCCATGTATTCTGAGCAAACAATCTTGTTCTTGCAGTGATTTTCCGGCAGCCTCTGTTTTCGAGAGGAAGCGTTTGCTTGCATAAATTCCTTTTCTGTGGACACCTGAGTCTTCCTGTTAACAGTGTACTTCACAAGGCGCATCACACCTGGTAATCACAAACTCCGTATTCGTCCAGTCTTTTCATTTATTCTGTCTTGTCCTACTAGCACGCATAACCTTGATTTCCTGATTTTGGACAAACCTGGACTGTCAGAAAAAGCACCCGGCTTTTATAATACAACCTGATGAAGTGAATGAAATAACCTGCAGACAGCCGCTCACTGACAGCATATTGTCACTTGTTTTGGCTCTCAACCTGTCTCGCAGTTGACCTATTCAAGATTCCAAGTCTACCGTTTACATATTATGCCCACTTTAAATATAATGGCACTATTATTAAGCGAATAATAATAACATTGGATAACACATGAATGGCAATTGAAATAACAGAAGAGTATCTAAATCGTTTTAGACCCATCCTAACTCTGCAGAGCTCGCTCACGATGTTCGAACTGGCGTTAATAACGATGTGAATGCACCTCGAAAGATCTAAACTTTAGATCCATAAAACTACCCCGTACCGTTCACACAGACTGTTCTTCAGATATTGAAATGACAAATACTCGAAATGTTCAGAACTTGCGAGTGTGAAGTTCATTTCCTCACACAATGGAGAGTACTAAAGTAATCTCACCCTTTATGGAACCCAGGCATCGTCGATACGCAGCGGAAGAAGTAGTTTGTTGAAGCAGGCCACGTCAAGACTCGTCAGTAAATGGAAATACCTTCGTAGATTCAACATACACCTGAGGACAATGGATGCAATGGGTCTGTATTGCCTTGAAATTCGCCCTAAATGTAGATTAATTCTTCAGGCCTTGTGCAGAATTCAGACGGAGTCTGTGTTGTGTTGCGAACACAAAATCGCATATTTTCTATGGTGTCACCTCTATGGTATCCATCTACAAATGTTGCTGTACATGGCATTGAAAAAAACGGTCGCAGTGCGTCTAACGACCATAGAGTCCGCTGTCCTCACATACTTGCAGTAAAATGTACGTACACTAACGATTTAATACATTTCAGTACTCCTTTAGGTTTCCTGTTTATTCTGGCTGGCGCCTAAACTTTTGCTTTGAGCCTTGACTATCATCACTTGTCGCAAAGGTTATCAGGACACTATGGTCACCAGTCCTAATCAAATTGGTTTTCGAATGTAATGCGTTAAAGTACCTCTCCTCGAGGAACTCTGTCCTCATGAAACAGCATTTCCGTCGATTGGACAGCTTTACAGAAACCGTTGCATTTTCTTGCAGATGTTTCTCTGAATCAAAAACATCTCAGAAACGAGGAAATTAAACATTCAAAAAACGAGAAATTGGTCATGTCACGGAGTCATTTTGGAATCCATCGAGAGTGTTTCCTCAAAGGGGGAGCAGCGAAACATTGATCCCCCCTTTCTGGACAATGCAGTATTATTTATCACAAGTGTTCCCCACAGAGCTTTGCTTCACTCACACGTTTCTCTATAGTGAGCCAGCATATTCGCAAGACACAATAAAACACCAAACTGGTATGGTACGCGGCTCTTACTTCTATATTTGTCCACCTGAAGCTCCCTTTCTCCTCTTGGTCTAGTGGACAGTTTGGTGATATCCAGTCTTTAATGACCTTCAACAAAATATAAAACGCGTCGACTTTCTCACTTCTTAACCACGAGGACTAGAAAAGACCGGATAAGATCTAGTGAATAGGGACATGATTCACTGGCACCTGGGTCGAACGACAATTCGGCTTTTGACTAATACTCCCATTTGCCTACGAATTTGGTTTTGACGAGAGACTCGACGGAATCCAGCCGGATTTTTTGTTTATATTAGTCTTATTATACTGAATGTGCTGTACCAGACTGTCTCATGTTTCAGTTAGTACGAAATTCCAGACTGTCACACATTTTATAGATGAAACACACTACTCATAAGGTCGCCTAAAACTCTCCGATAGCCCACGATCGAGACAATGTGTCGAATACCGTACCAAACTGCGACATAAAACAGCTTGGTGCAGCAAATTTGATTGAAGCGGAGATTACTTTGAGTCTCCTGTCAAGACCGAATTCGTTCGCAAATGAGCACACTTGTCGAAAGCTATCCAGTGTGTGTTCAAGTAGAACCTAAGGTTGACGGACAATCAGGTCCCAAGAAGGTTGAGGTCATTCGTTGGCTGATCAGAACCCTACGCAAACTTCAAGTAGAAGGTTGACGGACAATCAGGTCCCAAGAAGGTTGAGGTCATTCGTTGGCTGATCAGAACCCTACGCAAACAAAGGAACAAACCTAACCCTGACAAATGATGTAGAAGAATCAGTGCTCACGAAATCCACCCATTCAAAAATTCAAATTGACTTTAACGAGAGCCTCAACTGGATCTTCCGTTCACGATATTCTTTAACTTAATTTGCACTGGGGGATGGCGGTGCACTTCATTGAGTCACAGAGCATCAGATGGGAAACACCGATTAGATACTTTCGGTGGACTTGCACCAATCTATCAAATTCACGTCAACGGTGCCTCATCAACATAACATGGGAAGGCCTAATTTTCCGCCCATGCTTAAATACGTACTTTACGCCAAAGATATTGCGCAATTTCTCCAGGCGTTTCCCTCAGTAACATTCACTTTCTCATTGGCTATAAATACCAGGAAGAACGAGTTGCCGCCTATAACTGCATCTTCAATAAATCCCACTACTTTCACAACCAGGGCAAAATTATTCGGAAGATATCCAAACGGAATCTCAAGATGGCCTCCTTTAATAAAAATTAAAAAAATAAAATGATAGTGAAAACAATAAAAAAAATAATAAAAACAAATGAAAGTAAACGGCGTTACCAACCACACAGATCACTCACAATTATCATGCATCGAAGCTGATATGAAGCAACCTGATGACATTTGGACAGCCACCGCTGCCGAGTCCAGTTGATTATTAGTTTAGTATCAACTGAACCATCTTGTGGGTTTATTTACTTACTTTATCTAATCGGTCATTTGAACAGCGGAACTTTCTACTGATTTTCAACAGAATATATCGACAGTTGTTAAACAAAATTGGCAACGAACAATATCGTTCGCATGGATCATTTGCATAAGTCGGTCCACAGATGGGAATCTATCCTTTCCGAAGGTGGTTCAATGATTACGATAGTGGGACCGGAGACGAGTTTAATCTCGTTGACTATTCTTCCTCAGAGCGAAATGGCCATGTTAGGCTTTCCGGTTAGGTAAGCTAAGGAGAGATTCAGTGCACCACCAAATAGAAGCTTTTCGCCAAGCAACCAATCGAGACGAAATATGGGAAAACTATATCACAATTAAGGTCATATCTGTTGTAGTCTCGAACGGATATATCATGCAATAGCTGTACGGTGGGTTGAAAGTGGCATATTAAGGTAACTGACCTCAATCATAATCTCGCGTTACCCAGTTAATAAGAGTGATAGGAAGTTTAACAGTTACTACGTCCGCGAGCCCGACTGGAATCGGTTGACTTAATCTCCTGAAAACCGATCGATAATCTTTATTCAGGAGTACCAGCTTGTGTGCCCGTGTACAAATCACGTAATCGCAGATTGATACGACTGGAACAAGTTTTTGTCAGCTTCAGTACAGTCCATATTAGGGAAGCATTTAATAAGTATAATATCTTTGTAGTCTGATTTTGACGTCTCAGGTAGATTTGACACAATCGACTGCCTTTTTTTCAAACTATATACAGTTCGCTCCCTTTATCGTAACACTGCACGGCTGCCGATCTTACTCGGGAGCATCACCATCATTATCAATATGATATTACCATCTTCATCATCATCGTCACCCGTAAGTGATGCTTAGGTTGTACAACAGCATTAACCATCGCAAGTTCGTCCACAGACTTTGTGGAAAAGGGGTGCCACAAACTGGAGGTAGCAACCGACACAGTGAAAAACTGATGGTTGCTGTTAGTAGTGACCAGAAGATTTAGCGATGTACCGGAGTCGATAGCTTGGTACATGCTCACTCTTGAGGTTCCCGATACGAAAATTCGAGTGACGCGTAGGTTTGACAATCCCGAATATCAAAAGGAAGAAGTGGGCTCGAAGTTCTACGGTACTATTCCTACAAGGGTAAGCAAATCGGACATGAATGTGCATGAACGAGTAGGTCAGTGTCGGACGTGACAGCTTTTGTGGCAAAGTGAGTGGCGGGTACACATAAGCAAAACAAGTGGAGATCAAAAGTACATGGGCAATGTAAACAAATGGATGGGGTAATTACCATGAGGTCAAGTTAGATTCACTACACACCATTAGGATGGTGATGGCCATATTCGTCTCTCTCTGTTCAGTTCATTGTGTTCTGTTCTCGGAGTTAGTCCACGGAAATTTGGATTTACGTGACATGCAAATTTCAGCACCAAATCATGATTCGACTGCCGCCATACCTCCTCTACCCAACTCATGGTTACCTAAGAAAAGTCCAATACAGGTATAACAAGCAGTAGCCACACCAGCGCACTCATCGAGTAATGAGAGCATTTGTATCGTGTTCGAGGTGATTTCATTGGAAACCGCTCAACTTTGGCGCTACTGATCTGACATCCTCACCAGACTGGTGGAAGGCCCTCAAGACATCAAAGATAAGAAAAAATTAGTGACCAGCTTTTATCCATATGATATTATGTAACACACTGTAGCGTTGTAAACTTTCCCCTGATATCACATCTATACCATAGGTAACGCAGTTTGGTAAGTCACCCGGGCCCTCTCTATACGGATGAAAGCATCACTCGTGGCTGGATCATCAGAATTGATGCAGCTACCCTAGTTGGCTTGTCTACAAGAAGCAGGTTCATGTTTGATCCTATCAGTTCTCATAGTAGTAATTTATGCTTCGTTTGAAAACGCATACTAAACTTTTGGTTAGAATCACTTGGACAGTTCTTAATGTTTTCATTTCGACAGAGTCACATCCAAGGTGAGCTACGTCGTTTAGGATTCAGAGGCGTTCCGAACTTACAATCGTTAGTTTGTGGATGCGGAAACTCTACGGTCGCATCAGTAAGAAAATTGAGCGGAACGGCGAAAAGGAAATACCCCCGCCACAAACTGCCTTCGATGAACTCAGGTGAAAAAGCGCATCCATCGCACAGCAATTTCAAGGAAAATCAATGTTATCTGGGGGGGGACAAGACCGTCCAACAAAAACCACCATTACACCATTGTGCCGCACGATCAATGGAAGAGAAGCCAACTTTCAGTCCCAGGGGTCTGTCGTTGTTAGTCGCTTTAAACAAGGCCGCTGTTCCTGAATCTGTCGCAAAGCAAAGCTGAGCAGAAGAAAACCCCGTTAAGTTTCATGAATCACTTTTTGTCTGAGCTCAGTAAACCTACACAGAATAAGAACAGGGAGAAATTTGGATGCAACAGATGCCAGGCGGTACCCAGTAGCCAGTGATCATGTATCTTTATAAACATTGGAATATTTACTAAGATTCGACTCGACAACACCTACAGCTAACAAGCCTAGAGGAGGTCCTTCATCCAGGTTGCCATCACCGTCATTAGCATCATCAACATCACAACCGCCATTACCATCATTGCCATCATCGGGTTTCTTCCCATCCAGCTACGCGTTCGGAATTCGACAAAAATGTCCATCACTGAGAACCAATACATTGTTATACAATGGGACACAAGTCACTTATCCACCCCTACCAAAAAATAATCTGAAACTGAGGCTAAAGAAGACTTTAGATATAAATCTAATCAAGAGGCCACAAGAATCTGACATCGCATTCTGCCGTTCTTCGGAGGCGATCAGATCACAGCGCTTGGTCGACGGGGAATATTTCGTGGACTGTTCGTGAAGATAACCGCTGATCAATCTCAGTACTGGCTGAAGACAGTGATGGTACTGACGGGGGAAGTGGTGCACGATCACCCGCTATTTACGGAATTTCGAGTTCGCCAGTCCCCTCGAGGATAAAGTATCTCAGAGATAATGAAAACCCTCTACTTGAAGTAGGATTTCTTTCCCAGGAGGCGCGAACTCACCAAGTCTGATCAACGTCTATATTCAGTGAGGTCCGCATTAAATCAGTTCCGGTGATGCGGCGTGACTGGTACTGACCCATTTGGAAATTTTCCCTCCGTCGTTCTAATCACATCCTACGGATCCATCGAAATGACAAATAAACATTACACGTGACATTTTTAGGAAATGTGAAACCCGCTATTGCTGAGAATAAATCCGACCCTAAGGAGAGCAGTCGACTTTCCGACGCCTCACTACAATACGGTCTTCGTGGATGCTTGTTTTTGCCAGGTTCTTATTCGAGGCTGGAGAGACGTACAAAATTTTCCTGTCCCTGATGATATGAACACGCGGTTTGTGGTCTCGAAACTCAGTTATGTGCATTGGATCTCTTATCACCAGTCACAATGCCCGTGGACAGTAGCCGCGCTCATCCAACCGAAGACTAATTCTACCTTCACAAACGGGAAAAATAAGCCTTAGCAGTTAAACGCAAAGTGCTTTCACTGTTCTCGTCCCACATACGCATCAATCTATCAGTAGCTGCGTCCGCATACACCAGCAGAACGTACTGGCACATAGATAAATGCACCTTCGGACTCACTGAACGCGTTAGCTGGTCGACCCGATAGGCGGGAATCGGGCCGAGGCACAGAAACCAGTCGTATCGAACGTAAGAAATGTTTAGACCACTGACTTGCCAGGTATATGGTCAGTTAGTTAGTTTGGTTTTGTGTCTTTTTATAACGACGATATCTTAGAGCTAATGAACGACTTCCCTAGGCGACGCTCCTTGATACGCACAAAACCTACATTCAACTTAGTAGCAACGCGTATACTACCGACTTTTTATAAATTCGTCTTCGGCATTACGAATACAAATGCAAACCAAGCAATCAGTTCCAACTATTTGACATACGGTGAGACCAGTCAACTGATGGATAAGCAGCGCACTCACTTAAGCGTGATATTCTTCCACAGCACCCTAGAGACTTCGCTATGACTACAACCTTCATTCCGATGATTACGTAGTTGGAGAGATTGAATTCGATGTTATTTCTAGTTAGAAAGCTAACTAGACAATTCATCCACTCGGAGATTGTTTTAAAGTCAACAACTAGTTCGACCGAGATTCACAGACTGGCGATTTCCTTATACATTCTCATACGCCAACGTAGTCGTGGATGTAAAAGACGAATGAATTCTGGAAGATTTCCGGATCAGTGCGCTCAGAATTGTGAATAAAAATTTCCAAGGCTGGTAAAGTGGTGACAAATTGGTGGAAGGGGTTGTTTGGAACAAACTGTGTTCCAATAAGTCATGAAATACGTTACGCATGTTGCCCAGTAGTACGGCTGTGCAAATGGACAACCAAACACACTCGAGCAGGGTAACCGCATACCTGAAATCGCTGGAGGCGTGTAACACACGAAGGCGTATGTGAAGGTTTCAAGAACGATTGCTCGCTTTAAATGATTGTAGAACAGAGAATAGGCAACGCAAGCCTATTTCATACGAGGGAAGCGGGTTTTCAAGAAGTCCAACATCAAGGACCCACAGAAATTCTATACTTAACCAGATATCATGAACAGGTAATCATAAGAAAACCAGCGATAAACTCCCCACGGATTAGACAAAACAATGGTAGAAAGCGAGGTATACATCACCGAAGTCAAGTTGTCCAAAGTGACGAAAAATCAAGTTTCATCTTGCTCTTCAAATTCTCCCTCCTCCTCTGCGGTAGCATCCTGATATTGCTGATACTCACTTACTAAATCATTCATGTTAGATTCAGCTTCCGTAAACTCCATCTCGTCCATACCTTCACCCGTGTACCAATGCAAGAAAGCCTTGCGACGAAACATGGCAGTGAACTGCTCGGACACCCGCTTGAACAACTCCTGAATCGCAGTGTTGTTTCCTATAAACGTAACCGACATCTTCAAGCCGCGTGGAGGAATATCGCAAACAGCCGTCTTTACATTGTTAGGAATCCACTCGACGAAATAGCTAGAATTCTTGTTCTGTACATTTAACATTTGTTCGTCCACCTCCTTCATTGACATGCGACCGCGGAATATAGCAGCTACTGTCAAGTACTTTCCGTGGCGCGGATCGCAAGCAGCCATCATATTTTTCGCATCGAACATCTGCTGCGTTAGTTCAGGAACCGACAGGGCCCGGTACTGCTGGCTACCCCGGCTGGTCAATGGAGCGAATCCAGTCATGAAGAAGTGAAGTCGTGGGAACGGTACCATGTTCACCGCTAGCTTGCGCAAATCACAATTCAACTGCCCAGGGAAACGGAAACATGTCGTAACACCTGACATAGTAGCACTGACCAGATGGTTCAAGTCTCCATAAGTGGGCGTTGTTAACTTCAACGTGCGGAAGCATATGTCATACAAGGCTTCATTGTCGATGCAAAATGTCTCATCTGTATTCTCCACCAACTGGTGTACCGATAGAGTAGCGTTGTAGGGTTCAACAACTGTGTCGGAAACCTTAAGGCATAATGTTGAGGAAAACTGAAACTTTTACCTTCGGGGAAGGGACGACAGAAAACGTGCTCATAATTCTGTCGGGATATTCCTCTCGAATTTTCGAGATGAGTAGTGTTCCCATGCCAGATCCAGTGCCGCCTCCCAACGAATGAGTGAGTTGGAAACCCTGGAGACAGTCACAGGACTCTGCTTCCTTCCGCATAACGTCAAGAACAGAGTCAACTAACTCGGCGCCTTCTGTGTAGTGTCCTTTTGCCCAGTTGTTACCGGCTCCACTCTGACCAAAAACAAAATTGTCCGGGCGAAAGAGTTGTCCAAACAGACCCGCTCGGACGCTATCCATTGTACCAGGTTCCAGGTCAACGAGTATGGCCCTTGGTACGTACCGTCCACCTGATGCTTCATTGTAGTACACGTTGATGCGTTCTAACTGTAAATCAGAATCGCCATGATAGGCACCGGATGTATCTATTCCGTGTTCATCAGAAATAACTTCCCAGAACTGAATATGTCCATCAAGTGAGTTAAATTACAGTAACCTACCTTAGAACCAATTTGATTTCCACATTGACCAACTTGAAAATGGACTATCTCGCGCATGTTCAGAAAACAGTCCTCGAGCGAAGACCAGAGTCGGCGACTTGCGGTCTGGACCTGAGCGAAGACACGTGACGACGTAAATTAAAGTCAAATGGCGCACTGCCGCCTGATTGACCTTGAAAAGCGGCTGTTCCATTCACGGTTTCACGGATTGTTACACAGGATCGAGGCATTTGTCCAAGTTTCACGAGTCGCTTTTGTTCTTGTCGTTCAGTGGCTGTCCTGCACCTGTAAGGCACAAGTGAAAAAAGTGTGCAGCACTGCTCTTTATGTTCAAGGCCCGGGGTGGTATGCTTGCATGCGCGAGGTTTCGCGCAAATGAATTTCTAATGGAGCTTTGAACTGGGTTCTAGAAGGAACGTGGAGCACCGTCGGAGGAAGATCATTCAACGCAAAAAGTTCCTTCGAAAACATGATTTCGGTCAAGAAAACCCCCTCGGTATCCTAACATTCCGTGTTCTTCAGCCGAACACCTAGTATTTTCTCAGTCTTTGTTTTGTGAAACAGTTTGCATATAATCAAAGGGGACTTCGGGCACGGGATATATACTAGGATGCTGTACTGCAGTTGAAACTAGTCTCTATCTGATAACACGTGCTTATCGCACGAACTTATGTAGGTACCTCTCTCCCGATTACAGAAATCAGCGATGGGCCACCTCGAATCCCAGACAGAAATCCATAGTCCGCTTGTAACTTCCGTTTAGTGAGCTTGGGCAATTTTTTGTTTGCCGTTTCGATATCATTACAGGCACATTGTTTCCACCCTCCATTCTCCTTTCCAGCGTCTCCCAATCTGTGCAAACGAGTGCTTTGTGCGCCGTGGGTTCCAACAACGCCGGTTTCGATATCCCCTCATTTAGGAAACTGCGCTTGCTGTCACTGCATCCTTGTGAACGTTGAGGGTAGCTGGGTTCCTGACTAACCACGCCACAATCTTTGCCGTGGTTCAGCTGCCTATCCTTACAGACCCACACCAAACTTCTCTCGAACTGCAGTTGGTACCAGGAAAATTTTTACACCAATTAGACCATTTGGCGGTATTTATAAGAAAACTTAAATTCTCCTCCAGACAGTCGCGGTTTTACACTTGTTTAAGCGCAGCTAGCAAGGGTGGGGGGTCTTCTATTGTAGTTGGAATGTGCTGTATTAGATGCATAGCGAGGTTCTATATTCACGGATGTACTGACAACTCAATTGTGCAACTTGGGTTTATGTACAGTTCGACACACAGTACTCCGAAGATTTCGTATAAATACAGCCTGGTAAAACGGTCACTCGGAAGCACAAACACTCTGGGCTGGGAAATAGTGGAGATATAATAAATTACGCCCAAGCCATCAGTCTGTGTATGACCGTTGTGGCCCCGTTGAGCTTGTCAGGATAGTGAGGTTCGGTTAATTAATGATGATATACTAAGGCCGGCATAAATCAAAGATTATCTTGATCATCGTGATCGCGATGGTCGTTGCGCGGTGTGAAATAGCAGGTAGCTAAGAGTATGGCAAGTTCGATCTGCCATAGTTGGGAGACACTGGCCGAGTTCAAAAACGATGACTGACGTCCTGGTGGAAAGTGTAAGGATTGGGATTATGGGGTCGATGCATGCTGACGCGGCCATACGCAAATACCTGGAATGTTCGTCAGCTGAATGGCGAGTCGCTGAGGTCATGGCTAATTATATATTCATCCATGGAGCTGAGTAGAAATGTAAATGTGCGAATAGACGGCTCCAGAAATCGTGTTTGAAGTTTACGTGCCTTCTCAGCTACCGCGTTTCCCTGGAAGGTGGCTGGCAGGCATCTTTAGCGGTGCGACAATTACGTATTTGAGCACGCTGTGGCAAAATGGGATTAAAAAGCCACCTCAGTTTTTGCAAACTTTTGACAACGCTTTTTCATAAATCGAGTGGGGGAGCTGCAGAGGAAGACAGGTTACCAGATTTGGAATATGGGCTACCGAATGTGTATATGAATGACCGTGAAACACTCTGTGCAGCGCAGAAATAGATGCTGACTAATCCTGGAAGTTGGATGTGCCTAGATGCACTGCAAGTTCGAAGCGTGCAGGTTCAGGTGATCAGAATCCAAAATGAGGTGAGTTGTCGTGTTGCACGCTTAGGCGACGGAGTGCCTTCGGTACGGCGAAGTCACAGACCGGGAAAAATGGTATATGCTTCACCAAATAAATTACTTCAAGGGCGCTACGCCACGTGCATTTTGTGAACCTCTAAAATTAAACATGATGCAGCGTTCCTACTCTGCTATAATTTTGGTTTCGGATTCTTAGGAGGACTCCCACGAGTATACGCAACATTCAGGACGAGCTTCACCCGGCAACAAATGAGTTCGACAAAAGCTGTTTTTGGTTTTCCATGTATGTTGTTGATGGTATGATAAGTTTAATGGAAAGCCGGTCGTTCAATAAGGAAGTTGCTAACATCGCCTGCGATGAGGTTTCACACTGAGGAAACGTGTAAGTGTGGTGATGGCATGTCAGGCAGGGTAAGCTAGGCGTGTGTCGATATAGGTGTGATTAAAACTGCAGGAAGAGCAGTGAGTTTAGGGGGTTGAAATCCTGAACCCACAGCAGAGGACACAGTGTTGTGCTGAGAATGCATTTGTGAGGGTCATTAGAAGGGAGACATGAAGTTCAATGAGGAGTTGTCAGCCGTGTTGTCTTCCGCATTTTTGGAGCGGAAGGTGGGAAAAACGGTGTAAAACGATTTTTCGGACCCCTTAGGATTGCTAGAGGAGGAAGAGACCTGCCGGTTGGAACAAGCGTGGATGGGCAAGCAAGCTGCAATGCGGGAATGCGTTGTGACAGATCATCGTCTGTCGATGCATAGAGGACACTAGCGGTTTTGGCGGGATTGTGGTGGTGTGTTGTTCTTGGATGTGGTTTGAAGTGTGTTTCTTTCTTGGACAAACATCGTCAGCTGTAACAACGCGTATCACAGTGTTTATAGCCACCAAATCTTTTATCTCCATTGATTTGGGGATATCGGGCAGATAGCTATGCACTGCAAACGTAATCTGATATAACTGATGCGTAAGCACAAGTTTAAAGTCGACTTTTCGCTCAAGAGCCTGTGGGAGAGCTAAGCATCGAAGGTAACAGCCCGGATGCACGAGCGCTGTTGAGGGCGCAACTGGACTAGGCCTAACAATGTCTCATAACATCGGGATCTTCATCCGGGGAGACGGCAATGATCAGCGCAACTGAGTTCTCCGGTAATAATTTTCACATGTTACTGCGAAATCATTGCTTGGCTTACTCTGACTCGCTTTTGCCCTTCATGTGGTCTCAAAAAAGAGCCCTTCAAGGAAGCCCGATTACTGGTATACGAAGCACCTCACCAAACTAGCACAAACTATAGAGTATGATCGGGTCATCTCTTGTGGGCTTTACTCGTCCGAAAACCATTCGACGTACTTGAGAATTGGCAATCAGGCCTGCTCACCTACCATAGTGAACCTAGTGAGCACCAGTTAGATCATCATCGTCAACATGAAAGGCGTCAAGTGTAGTTGTCTTAATTACTCATGGAGTCCTTAGTATACAAATTGCTGTGGAAGTGAGGATTGGCGGTAATATGCTGGAATGAACGAAGTAGATGAGGCCGAAGCCAAACTGAGTGGCAAGGAAAAAGGCCGCAGACTAGCCTGCAATAGCAAAGAGCCTTCAGTGCGTTAGCTGCGTTTAAGATGTAGGAGCTGTTTAGGCGATTACTGGACGCCAAAGATCACGAAAGAGTCGCTTTTAAAACGTGGGCACGGGAGCTGATAAGCGGTGCCTAAGAGCAGAGTCGTTAGTTGGTGGAGCTATTAAAGTTGGTTTTTGGATGGTTATAACTTAAGTTTTAAATGATAAGGTTTTCGGGGTTAGTAAGCCATTAAGTAGTTTATTAACATCAAGTACCTGTCCATTCACTGGATTATCACTAGAGCTATATGCTTGAGAATATTTTTAGAGATTGTGCGGCCCCCAAATTTTGGGGATCTTGTCTATAGCGCTTATGCATAAGATATCCTTTGGTATACACTTTTTCAACTTCAACTTCGCTGTGTCCAAAAATGCGTATGCTCACTGAATACTGGCGTCGTTATCTTGACGACGTCAATGGACGCATGGACAACTCATTATAGACCAACTGAGGAAGTAGTATGCTTGCCTTAATAAAAGTAAGACGTGTAAACAAGTTTGCCTTAGACATGTTATTGCTTATTTTCCCCCCGTAGAATCCTTGTCGAGTAAAAATGGCTCCTGGAAAACAAGAACTCCAGTGACTTCCCATTAACTATTACCAACGAAACCAATAAATACCGACATGTAAATTGCCAAAATGGCTGTGTATTTTGAGGCATGGTCATGGCAGACAACCAACATATATGAGTATGAAGTGCTATCATTGTCGGTTGAATCAGGGTGGAATCCATGGCTTAGGCCTCCAAATCAGCGTCACGCATAGGTATGGGCCTAGCGACAACCAATGTAAACCGCAAATTATACGGTTATCAAGACGGATATCAATGGCCGACATTAACGTGCGAAAAATTTGTTGCGCTTTATGGCGCAATTTAGCTCAACAGTGTCATTGGTTCAAGTGGAAATTGTAATTTATATAGAAATATCTTGAAACGCAGCATTATCTACTGTGTGGTTATCAATACATAAAAATAGGGATCATCCACAGAGGTGAATGCTCTCACTACCACTGCACAGCACATGGAGTGGTCAACAATTATTATGCTGCACACAAGGCAAGCCCTCTAAAACTTAGCGTTGTGCCGAAGTTTGCTAAAAACTCATCTAATTTGTTACTTCCGACAAGACACGTTAATCAGCCATCCAACTGGGTCGAATTTTCGTTGAATATTCAGCATGTGTTGTCTCCTAATTACAGGGATCCGTAGGACGTTAAAATATTCTTCGATTGTATTTCTTGCTGTGTCTCTTAAGTTGGTTATCGCATATGAATCGGTGGTGGTCAGTGAACTGGTGAGATCACCCACTCAAACAAAATGCTATGAATAAAATAGCACTGTGACGCGCAACCGGATTAGACTGTCCCACGAAAATCCTACAGTTCTGGAGAAACTAATTTTGGTTTACTCGTGGTGACCGGCAAATCAATGATCTCTCTGAAGGTAGTGGAAGACTTTGCATAAGAGGTTGATTCTTAACAGTTTTCTCCTTTGTTGTATTTACAAACGCTTTGGAGGTGCACAAGACTACTAACTACATGATATTTCTCCACTTAAACTCGGAGGGGTCAAACGTTCACAGCTCATTTACGATGAAGATTTCCATCCTTGCTGCGGACGTTTAGCTACGTAGAGCCGAAGTA